TCGCTGATCAGCTGTGCAGAGGCTTCCCCTTTGAAACTGCCACCTCTGCCCATTTTAAAGGGGCAGTGGAGCCTGGGGTCAGCTGGAGACTTCCTGGGTTTTGGAGAAATGCCGCAGGGAGCCTGGAATCAGCTGAGGAGTCCCCAGCTGACCCCGGGCTCCTGGGCTGCCCCTTTAAAATGCCTCTGTAGTGGCCCCTAGCCCCTGGCAGTAGGCGGAGTTCTGCATTCCTTCTTTGAAACGTACAAGAGCCCCAGTAGCGGCTCTTGTGCATTTCAAAGGAGGAACGCAGAAGTGCCTATTGACTAGTCAATGGAAATTCCATCGACCAGTCGACTAGTCAATTAACCACATTTTAACATCCTTAGAGCCTACCCCACAAAACAGACAGTTTACTGAAGGGTAAACTTGAAAATGTATTCTGCTCTGCACAGCTCATGGAACACAGGAGCATGGTCCTCTCCAGGGTTGAAGCATGGCCAGGCCTATGCAGCCCAGTCTCTTGTTCCTGCAGTCACTAGCACCAGCCAAGGAAAGTGCAGGAACACCTCTGTGAATGGTCCTGAGGGGTTTTATCGTGATCCCTTTCAAGTTTGGCTTGCGGGTTTAGATCCTTTCCAATTTTTTTAATCCTCTCTAATGTAAATGTGGGTTTTAACATTATCCACATACATGGCTGATGCTTTTATGAGTCTCACCGAAATATTGGCATCAGCAATTTCTGCAGGTTAATTATATGATGGCAGTTTTATGCATACTGCCTCTGTTTCACTGAATGTCCCTTGTTCTTCTATTAGGAGCAAGGTCAGTATGGTTAAGAAGGGACCACTGTGATCTGTCTTGTATAATTAGGCAAAGAGCTTACCCCAAAATAAATTCCTGACCAGCTTGTCCACCTCTGTCCTTATTCATGGCTTCTTGATCCTAAACAATTCCTGCTTTTGCAATCTCTCCGTCATATCCCTAGCAGCACAGGGATAATATAAAGAGATTCCTTGGCTGTACACCCATCTGTCCTCTCTTGGAGCAGGTCTCCTTCATAGTGCATCTTATTATATAAGGCCCCTTCTAGTCAGTACACAACACGCACTGATGCAGCTCTGCCTCTCTCCATACACATTATAGGAGACAAAAGCATCTCTTCCATAGCCTAAAGCAAAGTACATGTTGACTGTGCAGCAGTAAAAGCAACAGCAAACACCCAAGCACATTCCTGACGCAGAGCCCTGTAATCTGCTCTAATCCACACTAGATCTGGAACAGGCAAAGCAGACATCAGGCAGCCCCTGACCTGGGCCCGAGGAGTATTGTGCTACTCAGTATTGTACCTGGATGGTAGATCTGGGCAGCCACACAGTCCCTTGTTTTATTGTTGATAAAAAGCGATCCACTGAAGGTTGTCAAGCCCCTTCGGATGTTGTGTGGCAGAGCCATTGGCACCAGCTGAGGCGGTCTTCCTCCTGACCTGGATAAGATGGTATTAAAGAGAAGGTCTTTAGCTTTAATTAAATTATAGGGCTGGCCTTCCACGCTGCCACATGGCCACTGGCTGAGGATAAAGCTACTGTGCTGTGGTGGGGGATAGCACAGAAAGCAAAAGATAATTCTGGGCAGGCATTGTCTGAGCTACCAGTTTCATAATGATGATATTATTGATTAGTTTCTCCAGTTAGCACTTTGACATTTGGTAGGTTCTTGAAGTTCGAGCCCCATATTATGAGAATTTCTGCCCTATGGAAGCTCCAATGTGCATGCTTTGGAAATCACACTCTATTTATAAATGTACTAGATTTACTGGACATTGCTCGGGTCCTTAGCTCAATTAATTGTTGCTCTACTTCATTTAAATCATTGCTCTGGGGTGGGGCAGGCTGCCTTGGGGAGAGAGAACCCCAGCCGCTATAGGCCAGGTAAGAAGCGCCTCTCAATGGCTGCTCCAGCTCCAGCTGGCACAGATGGCAGAGGTGTGCTTGCCCATAGCTGGGGCAAGTCCAAGTTCATATGCCCCCTGCACTCCCCAGCCAGAATGAGGAATGCAGAAAATTGTGCACTTTCCCCTTGCTCTCTGAGAAGGGGGAACGGCCCTTTGTTCTTGTACTAATCTGAGGTGGGGAAGCTTCAGTCCCCCTCTCCCACCTGCCTTCCCTAAAGGGTGCCGGGAGGTTAGGAGGCTCAGGGCTGGGGCAGTCCTGGATGAGGGAGGAGCTTGGGGCAGTCCTGGATGAGGGAGGAGCTCCCTAAACCAGCCCCTTTCGTCTGCCTAGTCACTCTCTTTTCTCTATTGCTGTGTCTAGACTGGCAAGTTTTTCTGCAAAATCATCTGCTTTTGCGGAAAAACTTGCCAGCTGTCTACACTGGCCGCTTGAATTTCCGCAAAAGCACTGATAATCTCATGTAAGATTGTCACTGCTTTTGCGTAAATACTGTGCTACTCCCGTTTGGGCAAAAGTCTTTTTCCGAAAAACTTTTGCGCAAAAGGGCCAGTGTAGACAGCAGAGATTTGTTTTCCGCAAAAAAGCCCTGATCACGAAAATGGCGATTGGGGCTTTTTTGCGGAAAAGCGCATCTAGATTGGCCACGGATGCTTTTCCGCAAAAAGTCCTGCCAATCTAGACGCGCTTTTCCGAAAATGCTTTTAATGGAAAACTTTTCCGTTAAAAGCATTTCCAGAAAATCATGCCAGTGTAGATGTAGCATATAGTTTTATGAGGAGCAATCCCATTTTCCCGTCACAACCAATATCTTATCTTGCTTTAAGTTAGGCTAAGAGGATGCTGTTTACCAATTTGATGGTCCTAGCTCTCACCAGTTAGGAGGAGTTATTGAACAAACAGACAGACTTGCAGACTCTCACGTATATAGTAGATTCATACAGTTCACAAAGTCACAAATACTCTAACCCAGGAAGGCAGTTAGAGATAATACAGAATGAGCTAAATATCTATCTATAGATCTACAACTGCTCTTGCAAAACAACCTAATTTGTTATCCACTGATGATATTTAACTTCCCCTTCTCAATCTCCTAAGCATCTCTCCAAGCAGGCAGGTCAAGATAAAGTTATTATAATGTTAAAACATCAAATGTATACCACAAAGAGAAACAGCAGAGCTGCAGTTTCAGTCTTTAAGGTGCCACAGGGCTCCTGCTGTAATAATATGTTACACTGACATCACTATCCTTCATTCATATTCAGGAGGGTTTTAAGCCCCTTTTCCTCATTGGTAGTTCCTCATGTTACTTCTGTTTTGGATGCCCTTCTCCCTGAGGTTATTAATCCTTTTACCTCAGGTTTATTAGCATATATATAAATTAATTGCCATGGTATTCTCGTGGTCAGACATCTGCTGATGTTCCTACCTCTGAAATATTCCAAGCTGGTAGAAAGTAGAATCTTGAATTTACCTGTCAGCAGTTCAGTCCCTACAGCTTTCCACCTTGTGCTTTCTTATGGTCTAGGGCAGTGTTTCACAGATGGTGTTCCATAGAACCTCAGGGTTCCGCAAAGTGAAAATAGGGGTTCCGTGAGAAAATTCCATTACAACCTGAATTATAGTAATGGAATGGAATCTTCATTCATTTAAGAATTTTATTGAAAACTATTTTAAATTTGTGTTTGCCATGATAAGTGTCCCTGTGTAATGCCAGTTTAGCCAGAGCGTGGGGACGATGATGTCACTATTCAGCGCTGTGCGCAGTCAATCAGGGAATCCACACAGTCAGTTCAGGGGTTCCGCAAAATTCTTTCCAGTTCAAAAGGGTTCCATGGCCAAATAAAATTGGGAAATATTGACCTAGGGTTACTCCTGGTTGCCTTTGACCCTGCTCCTCCTGGAAGCATGGAGCTGCCCTTCCCCCACCAACACACACGCCTTGTCCAGGGGCTCATGGATGCTGTCGGCTCCACTGCCTCAGAATAGTTGTAAATAAACAGCAGCATTTTATACATCTCTGTATGCGCCTATAGTTAGCACTGTATGTATAAAAGAGTGCCATCTTCTGGCACAAACAAAAAGTCTATAGTATCTAATCTAAAATAATAACAATAAGATTCCAGGATTGTCACTCTGAAGCCTAAAATGTCTGTAGAGTCAGTCTGAAGTGATGGAAACAGTTACAAGCATGGATGAGAGTTCTTGTTCTATATACTGTTGCTGAGTGGCTAGTCAAATTTTGGGGCCTGAGGGACATTCCAACTAGAAGCAGAAATTAATGGAGTTGGGCAGTCTCTTCAATGCAGTCTTGTTTTACTTACAAAGAATGTACAAAGTCCTTCTCCAAGCACAGGACAAAAGGATAGGTTCCTTACAGTTTCAAGTATCCTTAGCCATAAAGCTCTCTTTAACTTTTACTCAGTCACACAATTCTCCAACACAACCCACATACCACACAATAGCCTGCATAACAACGAGAGCTCTCAACTACACACACAATAACCCCAAATATCACTCTGAAATCTAGAGTGTCTGTAGAGTCAGTCTGAAGTGATGGAAACAACTACAAGTATAGTTCAGAGTTCTTTTTGATCGGACTATTACCAGAGTGCCTACCTGCTTCCTCCCTCACCCCCATCCCACACACACTATATACATCCTCCTTCTCTCTATAAGACTTCATATACAACGGAATAGCTTCAAAAGGAGATATAAAGAGCCCCTGACTCCAGAATTGCCAATTGTCTGTCTCGTGGTTATGGAGAGATGTGGGAAAGATGGGCTTAAAGCCATGCTCCAAAGCTAATAGAGCGGATTCAAAGCTGTGTCTTCCGAAAGCGCTTTAACCCATTAAACTGTTCATATTGGGTGGGGTTGTATTTAAGTAAGGGCTGATATGGCTTAGCCATTGCATGACAGGAGAGGCCTCAGAGTTCAGAGTGGAGCCTTTGTACCTCTTCTCAGGACTCTTTACCAGGGGCGCCATTTCAAATTCTGGTAGGAGGCACAACCTATGCCCATTGTGATGGGGAGTCAGACCGAAGACAGCAGATTCAGCAGTGTTACTGAGTGCGGTCAGTACAAGCCAAGCAGCAAATGTGGGGGACCAAGCTGACCAAGAAGAAATAAAGAGTTTTGTTTGTTTTAAATCTGCTGCCTGTACCTTTCTTTGGGTGAGCTTCTTGTGCTATGTTAGTGAAGGAATAAATATTTCCTTATTCTATTTTCCCATACCATTCATGATTTTCTAGACCTCTAACATATCCCCTACCCTTTGATCATTTCTCTTCCAAGCTGAAAAGATCCAGTCTTGTTAATTTCTCCTCATATGGAAGCTGTTTCTTACTCCTAATAATTTCTGTTGCCCTTTCTGTACCTTTTCCAAATCCAACATATCTTTTTCAGATGGGCTTATCAGATCTGTATGCAGTATTCAGGATGTGGACATGCCATGACTTTTTATAGAGGCAATATGATATTTTCTGCTTTATTATCTATTGTTTGCCTAATGATCCCTAATATTTTGTAGTTTTTTAGATTGTCACTGTACATTGAGCAGAAGTTTTCAGAGAACTATCCACAGTGGTTCCAATATCTCTTTTTAGAGTGCTAACAGATATTTTAGACCCCATCATTCTTGAATGTATACTTGAGATTATATTGTTCCATGTGCATTACTTTGCATTTATCAATATTGAATTCCATCTGCCCTTGTGTTGCCCAGTCACCCAGATTTGTGAGAGCCCTTTGTAACATTTTGCAGTCAGCTTTGGACTTAACTATTTTCGGTAATTTTGTGTCATCTGCAAATTTTGCCACCTCACAGTTTACCCGTTTTTCAAGAACATTTATGAGACGTTTAAAAGCAGTGGTCCAAATGCACATCTTTTCCCCCTACCTTTTAAGTGGAATATGTGGCACTGTTTTCATGATGCTCTAACGATCCTTCAATTCCTTGGATAACAAAATAAAGGACTATGCAGCATTTAAAGACTAACAAGATGGTTTATTAGGTGATGAGCTTTCGTGGGCCAGACCCACTTCCTCAGATCAAATTTTGGAAGA